TTGACCAGTGTGTTTTGCTTGGTCTTGTCCAGCTCTGCCTGTAGCTGCACAGTTCTATGGTTCATCTCCTGAATGATTTTGGAGAAGTTGATGGACTCTCGTAGAGCCCTCCACACTGCGGCTCTTTCCTCTCTCTCTGTCTCCATCTCATTTTGCAGAGTGTGCCCACACTGAGCTGGTGTTTCAGCTCTTTCACCAGGATTATGTTTTTTCTGAAGAACTTCATCTTGGAGCTTTGAGAAAATGCTGCTCAATGGAATTCCAGGACTCATTAAAATAAATAAATGCAGATTCAGAAAAAAAGAAAATTGAACTAAAATTGCAGTAATTTATCCTTTATTTAAGCAGGAGCATTTTAAACATGCCCAGGAACATTGACATTTGAAAAAAAAAAAAAAAAAAATCTATAGGGATGTAACGATAGCCAAATCTCTCGGGACGATATTTTCATGATATACATCTCATGGGACGATATTTATTGTGATATTTTGTGGACAAAACTGTTAGTATGCAACTTTTTCCTTCAAAGTCCTTAGAACTGTTATTTCTTCTTGTAGTCTGCACTGAAAAGGAGCAAAGGATCATGGTCTTTGTAGTTCCCTCTGTCCTTTTTTAGCTGTTGTTGCACCATAACTCTTAATTTAAGCAAAGAGACTTGTAATTCAATATATTGTGATGGTCCACGATATTATTGTGAGAACTTTGATGATACAATATCACGATATTTTGGTTATTGTTACATCCCTATAAACCTATGAATTCTATGCATTTCATTATATTTGTATTTGTTTATTTATTTAATTCATAAAGTATAAAAAGACATCAACAGTGTCACAACATCAAACATACAAGAAGAGAAATCTTATGTTATCTGCCCTCCTTTCTCTTTTCACGACAAAACATCAACACCGATGGTTACTAAACATTCCATATCAGTTCAGGCACAATTACTGATCAATTGCAAACAGTAATCTTCACTATCACGCACAACAATTTAGTTTTCTTTTCCATACATTACATTTGATTTTATATATTTTTTAAATGTCATCATTGTACTTGATTCTTTTATTTCTTTGTCAAGATTATTCCATAAGTGAACTCCTTTCACAGTAACACTTCGCTCCATAACCTTGGTTCTGAATCAGTTTTTTTTTTTTTAAACATGTAGGTTCCTTTTAAATTGTAGTGGCTTGTTCTCATCTTGAACAATCTTTGAATATTTACAGGTAACACATTGCACTTTGCTTGATACACAGTGTTGGGGAGTAACAGATTACATGTACTGGAGTTACGTAATCAGAGTACAAATTATGAGTAACTGTATTCAGTTACAGTTACTGTTTCAGTGAGTGAGTGGTAATTGGATTACAGTTACTTTGTTGAAATAAATGGATTACACAGAGGTATTTTCCTGTTTTCACATTTTGGGCTATATCCACTTTTTTTTTTTTTTTTTCTCGGTAATTCCACTCATTGCCAAACACTAAACCAGGTCTAAACCCAGGTCCAAACCAGGTCTAAAACCAGGTCTAAACCAAGACTAAAACCAGGTCTAAACTATGTATGATTTAACAGGACTAAACCATGCTGTGTGGACTGTGTCTCCTCCTCTTCTATCAATAATATTTTTTAATTTGGTTGAGTAAAGTCTGGGCTTTTTATTTTCTTTTAGCAGACAAAACATCTTATGTGAAGATTTCCTCATCTTTGCTTCTCTACAGCAAATCAAGTAATCCAAAGTATTCAGATTACGTTACTCACTTTAAGTAATTTAATGGATTACGTTACAAACTACATACTGAATTCAGAAATATGCACTAAATCAGCTCATAGTATGATTTTTTAATAATTACTGTCTTGTGACATACACCCTGGATGATTATGAAGACATCACAAGTTGTTAAAAAAAAAAAAAAAAATCAATGATTATAAGTTAAATGTCTTTGAATGTGTCAAATATCCAATCTCCAATATCAAACCAATTCAACTGTGGTAAATAAAGTTACATAAAGCCCATGATTAGTGGTTTAAATGGTAATTAGCACGCTTGTTTGCAATGTATTTAACACTTTACTGGATATTCGACACGTTTAAAGATTTAACGATTCAATGCATATTTGTAAAAATCATACTACACTATGAGCTGATTTAATGCATATTTGTGAATTCAACACTTATTTAACATTTCTTTTCAAACAACCTGTCACATCTTCATAATCATAAGTACTAATTATTAAAAAAAAACATTGACCATTGTTGATTTTTCTTTCCTTACCAGAGGGGCACCAACTATTTCGTCCACGTCTGTACATCACAAGTTAAAAAATGACTGCTGAATTCACAAATATACATTAAATCAGCTTATAGTATGATTTTTTAAATAATTACTGTCTTGTGATATACCCTGGATGATTATGAAGACATCACAAGCTGTTTAAAAAAAAAAAAAAATAAATCAATGATTAGAAGTTAAATGTCTTTGAATGTGTCGTATATCCAATATCCAAAATAAAACCAATTCAACTACAGTAAATGTTAGGGGTGAAAGAAAAAATTGATTAGGTCATCGTGATCGTGATACTTCACTGCACAATTCTTTTAAAATTTTCACAAAAATTCATTAGTTACATTCACCGTTCTCATGATTTAAAAATATAAAAAAATATATCTCATACAATTGTGTTCTCTTGAAGGTGTAGTTGACTGTATTATTAGAAGTAATTATTCATAAATCGCAATATCCGGAATATATCGTGATATATTGAATCGTGACATGCGCATCATGATATGTATCGTATCGTCGTCAGACTCAAGGCAATGCACACTGCTAGTAAATAAAGTTACATAAAGTCCATGATTAGTGGGTTAAATGGTAATTAGCACGCTTGTTCGCACAGTAATACAACTATGCAATGTATTTAACACTTTATTTACCCTGATGACGATCTAAACGCTGCAATGCATAACTCTGAAAGTGCGTATTGTTTTTGCAATTACAGAATCCACTTAGTTTTTCTAGTTTTGTTATTGTGCATTAATAATAAACGTGGGGGCATGTACATAGGTTACTTGAGGTCAACTAGCTGCGTTGTCGAGTCACCTTTTTAACTCCTAAATGATGCAAAATTATAAATATGAGTTGCGTTTTGCACGACGATACAAAAGCGAATTGCGCAAAAAGTAACCGTAACCAAGGAAACGTACGAGGATTTTTACTGGGAATGCTAATTTGGGTAATTGTAGCTAGCAGCTCACGATCCGTACACTTCCAGACACAAAATTGCGCTATTTCTGAAAAAATAAACCTTAATATTTGTCTTGGTGTAAGGTTATATCGTTGCAGGGTCCGCGGGAGGAGAGCAGCCATTTTGATTTCACACGCATATAAATAGACTTCTCTTGTATTTTGAGTTTTTCGCAATAGTTGTGATGCAAAACCACCAAAAGTCAAACATTCATGGATCGATAATAAGATTTTATCAAACTTGTCAACAACAAATTCAAGAAATATTATTATTATTACCAGCAGCTGTATTTCCCTAGATACTTTTACTTTTTACATTATTGTATTTATTTGTTTTATTGTTATTTATAAGGGAGGGGGTCCTCAGCGTTGGGGACTTGGACTTGGACTCGAGTCAGACTTGAGTCACTAGTTTTAGGACTTGAGACTTGACAAGACAAAGACTTGGGACTTGACTTGGATTTGAAGGTCAATGACTCGGACTTGAGACCTGTGACTTGAGAAGACTTGCTGCTTCCCCTAAAAATATACATGTTTTTATAAAATACTCAGTGTTGGGGAGTAACAGATTACATGTACCAGAGTTACATAATCAGAGTACAAATTATGAGTAACTGTATTCAGTTACAGTTACTGTTTCAGTGAGTGGTAATTGGATTACAGTTACTTTGTTGAAATGAATGGATTACACGGAGGTATTTTCCTGTTTTCACATTTTGGGCTAAACCAGGACTAAACCAGGTTCAAACCAGGTCTAAACCAAGTCTAATCCAAGTCTAAACCAGGTCTAAAAACAGGTCTAAAACCAGGTCTAAACCAAGTCTAAACTAGGTCTAAAACCAGGACTAAACCAGGACTAAACCAGGACTAAAACCAGGTCTAAAGCAGGTCCAAACCAAGTCTAAACCAGGTCTAAACCAGGACTAAACCAGGACTAAACCAGGTCCAAACCAGGTCTAAACCAAGTCTAAACCAGGACTAAACCAGGTCCAAACCAAGTCTAAACCAAGTCTAAACCAGGACTAAACCAGGTCTAAACCAAGTCTAATCCAAGTCTAAACCAAGTCTAATCCAAGTCTAAACCAGGTCTAAAACCAGGTCTAAACCAGGACTAAACCAGGCTCTAACCAGGACTAAACCAGGACTAAGCCAGGTCTAAACCAAGTCTAAACCAAGTCTAATCCAAGTCTAAACCAGGTCTAAAACCAGGTCTAAACCAGGACTAAACCAGGACTAAGACAGGTCTAAACCAAGTCTAATCCAAGTCTAAAACCAGGTCTAAAACCAGGTCTAAACCAGGACTAAACCAGGTCTAAACCAGGACTAAACCAGGACTAAGCCAGGTCTAAACCAAGTCTAATCCAAGTCTAAACCAGGTCTAAAACCAGGTCTAAAACCAGGTCTAAACCAGGACTAAACCAGGTCTAAACCAGGTCTAAACCAGGACTAAAACCAGGTCTAAACCAGGTCTAAACCAGGACTAAACCAGTCAGTGTCTCCTCGTCTTTTATCAATAATATTTTTAATACAGTTAACTAAAGTCTGGGCTTTTTATTTTCTTTTATCAGACAAAACTTCTTATGTGAAGATTTCCTCGTCGTTGCTTCTCTACAACTAAAACAAAAAGGGCGAGCAGTGATCCAGCCGAGCCTTTTTATTTGATGTTTTGGGTTGTCTCGTTTTGTTATATTGCCGGCTGTTGCCTCCTTTAGTTCTTTGAGACTCCTTTTTGTTCGCAGTACAACTTGAGTTAGATTTTGTTATGTTGTACTTAGTTAGGGCTCCTTAGTTATTAGATTATTTTGTTTAAATCCTTTTTATTTTCTCCTTAAATGCCAATTTTTTTGTTCTTTCCTACACTGTTAAACCTTAAACATCCTGGTTTTATTGTTACTTCCCTTTCTCCTCTAGCAAAGGGGACGTAACAGTCAGTGAATCTAACAATGATGTTTATGTTGAGAGTGGGATTCAAACCACCAACCTTTGCATCAGTGGACAAACACTACCAACTTAGCTACTGCTGCCCGACTTTAAGTAAGTAACCTTAAGTTCACAACAGCAGAGACTACAACAAATGTCACAATTCTATATAATTATGTCTATTATAAGAAATAACTTGAACTTTTAATCTTTGATACATACATTTTATAAACAGTTTATTAAAAACCATCATCTCCTCTTGACGTTTGCGCTTTTGCCGTGACAGTTTCACATTGCTTCATCAGAATCCTTGTTATCTTCACCAGTCTTCTCTCCTCCTTTTGCTTCGGAAGACTCGGCGGCGCCCTCTACCCGCTCGTCCTGCATCATCCACGGACTCTCCAGGATGCGGGGGATGCTGGTCCGATGCGCCGCGTTTGGGTGAAGCATGCTCTGAATCAGCTCCACGGCCTCGAGTGAGACGTGGGGTGTGTCTGGGAAATTTATGTGGCGTGTCATTTTAACGTGCGCCATCTTGAGAGCTCTCGTTGAGGAGAATGGAAAGGCGTCGTAGAGCATTTTAAACAGGATTACCCCCATGCTCCAGACATCAGTCACTACGGGGTTGTATGCTAAACTGCGTAAGATCTCTGGAGCCATGTAGTTACTGGTGCCGCAGAAGGTTTTGCTTAAATCCAGTTGTCCGTCTGTGTAGCTCAGTCTCTTGCTCAGGCTGAAGTCGCACACTTTAATGTTGTTATTTCGATCCAAAACTAGATTTTCGCATTTCAGATCTCGGTGCACGATTCCGATTCGGTGGAGATACTGAACGGCGTCGCAGAGCTGGACGAAGACTCTTTTACTGAACTCCTCAGACAGTGGGCCTTTGGCTTTTATGTGCTTAGAGAGGTCTCCGTTGTCGCACAACTCCGTCACCACAAACACCTGAACATGAATGACAACAAAAGCGGATGTTAAATAAGACAGATTTTTAAAAGTTTAGTATTAGACATGGGTCAATTTGTTCACCAACACAACAAGTCCATAGTTATAGTAAGTAAGGCTTCGTTCAGACTGCAGGACTTAACGCTCAATTCGGATTTTTTTTTTTCATGAAATCTGATGTTTTTGCGAGGTCGTTCACATTTCCAATTAAATGTGACTTGTATGTGACTCCAGTGTGAACATTAACCCTTCCAGACCGACGGTATCGTATACGATACCGGCGGACATGTTTTACATAACCGCGCATAACTTTTTAACCATAAAAGATAGAGACTTAATTTTTTCCCCTTGTATAGATAAGACCCGTGGCTTTTTTTTTTTTTTTTTTTTTTTTTTTTTTTTTAAGACCCGTGGCTTTACGAGCATCTTTCCGGCATCATCCTACGTCACACGCACGCTGCGTGGTGACGTAGTGAAAACAGGTGTCCAATAGGAACTTCGTTCTTCGGCGCGTGACGCGCTCCATCCATTTTCATTTCAAACTTTGCCAAAGATTGTTGTAAGTGAAGATAGCTTACTCCTCTGAGCTACTGTGCTCATAGCATTCGATGAAGCAGGCCTAAGTACCATTATTTCTCAAGTAAATGGCAAATTACGCATCTCATTTGAAAAGTTTTTTTTTAACTTGCAAATGATACATAATACACCCAACAGGACGTAAACAGCCTAGTGTCGAGCAATGAATCGGGTGCGCGCGGGTGTGAGCAGGTGCGCGCAGATGCGCGCTTGGCGTAGACCCGGCGCACATTCGTGTGCCAAGGCATTGTTGTTTTGCGCACGGAGGATAAAGAGCTCCGGGAAGTCTATCAGAAGAAAGAAAGAAAGAAAGAACGAACGAACAGAAATGGCACGCAAAGCGTCACTTTCCTTGCTGGAAGCAGTGGCGATGGTAACGGAGCCTGGCTGTGACGCCGAGTCCGATGTGGACACTTTTTATACAGATGAAGAGTTGGATTACCTGGAGGGTCTGGACCCTATTGAAGAGTAAGTAGCAAATATTTCATAATTATTTAGAGCAAACATCATGCAACACTTGTAGTAAACGGGAGTAAATACATAATAGTAGCATGCGTAATGCCTATTTACGTATTGTTTGGATACAGTTTTATTTGATGCGTGAGGGGTATAATCATTTAGGTGGGGGATGAGATTGTGAACTTCAGACAACTTTACCTGTGTTGCACTAGACTTATGACATGTATGTTGTTGTTTGTAATAATTAGCTACAAACTACATGTGTAAAGTGGATGAAGTGGTTTGGGATGTGTGGTTGTCCTCATTAGTGAGGTCATAATATCTTGACACCATTTGGGTGGGGGATGGGGTTGTGCATTGTGTTTGCTCCTGCTGCACTAGACTTAGACTTGTTGTAGTACATATGTAATACACAAGTTTTACACAAGCACACAAGCTAACATTTTTTCCTTTTCTTTTGTTTAGTGCTGAGTCAGAGGATGTAGTGTTTGACGCCTCTGCACAATACAAGGACACTTCACTAAATGAACACCTGCTCACAGGGCCTGACCTCACAAATACATTGGTGGGAGTACTCTGTAGGTTCAGGAAGGGTTCAGTTGCTGTAATGTGTGATGTGGAACGTATGTTTCACCAGTTCCATGTTAGACCACAAGACCAGGACTATTTACGTTTTCTATGGTGGGAGTATGGTGATATAAGCACTCCACCCCTCGGTCTTCCGCATGAAGGTTCACCTTTTTGGTGCAGCCTCATCACCTGACTGTGCTAACTTTGGCTTAAAACATCTAGCCACACAAGGTGAAGACAAGTTTGACCCAGGTACTGTTAAGTTCATTCAAAAGAACTTTTATGTAGATGATGGGCTTGTCAGTATGATGTCAGAAGAAGAAGCAATAAAACTAGTCAAAGAAGCAAGAGAGCTTTGTACAACAGGTAAACTAAGACTCCATAAATTCATATCAAACAATGAAAATGTGTGTTAAAATCACTACCCAAAGAAGAGTGTGGTGAAAGTGTTAAAGATCTGGACTTAGCATTTGGAGAGCCACTCCTGGAAAGAGCTCTTGGTGTGCAGTGGTGCATGTCTTCTGATGAGTTTCAGTTCCGAATAACAGTAAAAGAGCACCCTATGACAAGAAGAAGAGTCCTGTGCACCGTAGCTTCAGTCTATGACCCGTTGGGATTTGTAGCACCGTTCATCTTAAAACATTGGCCTGTCTTCCATAGAGCTGCAGCTGCTGCTCTTGTTCTTCTGCAGGTTAGTCCCTGAGGCCATCTCCTTCTTCAGGAGCATGTTGACCTTGAGCTCTGGTCTGCTGTTGCTGTGAAACACCTCATAACACAGAGGACATGTGCAGCAGGGCTCATCAGTGTCCAAGGCCTGAGAGATGCAGCGTCTGCACAAGTTGTGTCCACACAGAGTGGACACTGGCTCTTCAAACACCTCCAGACAGATGGAGCACAGGAACGTCTCCTCAGAGCTCAGGCCTCTGGTGGTGGTGGTGGTGGTGGAGGAGGACATGTCTGAAACAGAACTATGAACAGTTACTATAGTTACTCTCATCATAAAAAAAAAAAGCTTATTGTGACAGGAAAGAGGAGAAGAACTTTTCCGGGTCTTTAAAAAATTTCCGTCAAACAGACCCCAAATTGTGTTTTTTCCTTCATTTAACCCTCCCACTCTGCTGTTGGGTCAAACAAACCCGAAATAATTTTTTCCCCCTTCATTTAATAGACACTTTATTAAAATAAAAAAATATTGCCCCCTGCTGTATGCAGTCAGTAGTGCATGCACGAAAATGAGACAGCTGTTGTACACAGGCCCAAGGAGTGATTAAATAAATAAATAAAAAAAAACAATTTGGGGTTTGTTTGACCCAGCAGGAGAGCAGTAGGGTTTTAAATGAAGGAAAAAAACACAATTTTGGGTCTGTTTGACTCACCAGGAGAGCGGGAGGGCTTTAAATGAAGGAAAAAACACAATTTTGGGTCTGTTTGACCCAGCAGGAGCGCGGGAGGGTTAATAAACTAAACTAAACTAAACCTCATCGTCTGTGTTGGTCGCCCCTGCAATGTTGCAGCTCTGAAAGCCCAAGATGGCCATAAGCAGCAGCAGTACTACACATCATAAAGGTAATACAGTTTAGTTTATAGTTTATAAAAACACTTTTAATAGCACAATATGATTTCTGAGAAAGAGTTTTATACATAGAAACACAGAAATAAAACTCAAACATAACAAACATAATTCTTCCCATAATGTTAGAACAATATTGTAACGGCAGTTACGAAATGAAAACCGTGAGAACAGGTTCGCTCGTATTTCAGCTTTAATAAAACCGGCACAATAGCAACAGTGCAGGGTTAAATTTCAAACACTCCTGCCTAACTCATGGTCTGAACTCTCCCCCCCGAAAATGACTGCCTGTGAATAACTAGCCCCAAATAAAAACAATCCCATAAAGCATTGCGACAGTTTGTAGGTCGCTACAATATATCATTTATTTGCAGTAATTACACATTTGTAGTGTGTTATTACTACGCTGTTCACTTTTTTCCAGAGCTTTTTGAACACACCTCGTGTCTCCGCCCCCGGCCCTGGCTGCGTTTGTTTGGCAACACATCACCGCTGCATCTAGCTTCGTGGAGACTTTATTATCGATTTCTCCAACTCTAAACAAACATCTCTT